CAATACCGGAGAGCCAATAATGGCTGCATTCATTCAGTCAATGCCGGAGTACCAATAATGGCTGTATTAATTCAGTCAGTGTGGGAGTGCCAATGTTGGCTATATTAATTCAGTCAATGCAGGAGCGCCAATGATTGCTGTATTAATTCAGTCAATGCCGGAGTGCCAATGATTGCTGTATTAATTCAGTCAATGCCGGATGCGCCAATGTTGGCTGTATTAATTCAGTCAATGCCGGAGTGCCAATGATGGCTGTATTAATTCAGTCAATGCCGGAGTGCCAATGATGGCTGTATTAATTCAGTCAATGCCGGAGCGCCAATAATGGCTGTATTAATTCAGTCAATGCCGGAGCGCCAATAATGGCTGTATTAATTCAGCCAGTGTGGGAGCGCCAATGATGGCTGTATCAATTCAGTCAATGCCGGAGCGCCAATGATGGCTGTATTAATTCAGTCAGTGTGGGAGCGCCAATGTTGGCTGTATCAATTCAGTCAATGCCGGAGCGCTAATGATGGCTGTATTAATTCAGTCAATGCCGGAGTGCCAATAATGACTGTATTAATTCAGTCAATGTAGGAGTGCCAATAATGGCTGTATTAATTCAGTAAAAGCAGGAGTGCCAATGGTGGCTGTATTGATTCAGTCAGTGTGGGAGCGCCAATGATGGCTGTATTAATTCAGTCAATGCCGGAGTGCCAATAATGACTGTATTAATTCAGTCAATGCCGGAGTGCCAATAATGGCTGTATTAATTCAGTAAAAGCAGGAGTGCCAATGGTGGCTGTATTAATTCAGTCAGTGTGGGAGAGCCAATAATGGCTGTATTAATTCAGTAAAAGCAGGAGTGCCAATGGTGGCTGTATTGATTCAGCCAGTGCCAGTAATTAATTCTGATTGTATTCATCCAATGTCAGTGATTTATTCTGCTTGTATTCAGTCAATGCCAATGATTAATTCTGGTTGTATTCAGTCCATGCCAATAATTAATTCGGATTGCATTCAGTCAATGCCAGTAATTAAATCTGGTTGTATTCAGTCAAGGCCAGTAATTAATTCTGGTTGTATTCAGTCAATGCCAATAATTAATTCTTGTTGTATTCAGTCTCAACAATTGCAATCCATCGATTGTTCGATGCATCGTTACAGCACTGTTGTATTCCTTCTGTAAGGATGGTTTCTGTCCTGTCTGGGTACTAGCTTAGGAGCACTTAACCTGGAAGGAACCGCACCTCATCTTCGCTGAATGTTTAGTAAACACACGTTGAATGTGGCTGATGTGATTGTATTCTGTTGGGGACCAGTTGTCCTTGCAGGTGGTCTCAGTTCATAACACAAGACGTAAAATCATAATAACATGCATATAGTGATATTATCGTTCATACTTGTGCATATGCTTATAATTTCAGATGCAATGATTGTGTATTCATCAACGACCAATCAAATATCAATACAGCCCTCCCACTGTCAGGTGTGAAGAACATTAGAATGACGTCATATCTATTTGCAATACGTCACGGCGCTAAGTGGATATATTCAACAGACAGGATAACGAACCTTCACGAACAAGTACAAGGCTTTCAGTTTGGAGAACGATCTAATGGAATGTTGTATCGTGGAAACATTATGTTTGACCCTGACCGGCATTTTGGGGTCAAGGACATGTCGACTGATGCCATAGACAGAAACAGGCACGTGTCCTATCAATCCGGGGAGTATCTTACACCAAGCATTCAGACAAAGTGGAGGCCGCCTTTACAGACCTCCTATCCTCCATATTTTGATATACAAAATGCTGCTTGCAGGCTGCCCCACGCATACGTCCCAGCATATCTTTACAAGTCAAGCGATCTATCGTCCTCGCTTGTTAGCTATAGCTCATTCTGGGCTTTAGGGAGTATTCTGGTGAAAGAGAAGTCTTCATCTTGGACCAACTGGTGGCGATGGTTGATGACAGACCTGCAGGAAGTAATCGGAATATACCCATCACCATGCACTGAGACGTTTACCTATGCTAGTACAGACGGAAGTGTTGGAAACGAAAATGATATAGTTGAAGCACTACTCGGAGGATTTAAATGTGAACCGCAAGATACATTTAATGCATGTGCTCTAAAGTTAACCAACATCATGGTAACTTGTAAACTACTAAAGCAATCCGATAGTGAGATTATTAAGAGTTGGTTTTCTAGTCTAAGCGCTCTCAATTACGAAGAACCTAAACGAAATGTATCTTCTCCAATGTTTATCCTTAAAGGCCCCCCTCAAATGATTCACAATGTCGTCTATGAACCAACTGCTAAAACACTCTCACAAGTTGAGACAAATCCGTACAGCGACATATGCAAATCAAAACTGCCCCGCCCTTCGGGAACTACGCCACCTCTAATTAATGACATTCTACTTGTTGTCATATTCAACTATCCCACATATTATTCAAATATTTTACACTTAGATTATGTGTACCGGAAGTTCTTTAAACATATCGTCTACTGTGGCAGCGTTCTTGGCAATTTTGGAGGATTTCAGAAACAGTATTACCATCCTGTCACTTTTCTGGAACTCAATGAAATTGACCGAGGCGTATATGGTTATTTGTGCGCAGCTTATGCCATGGAACTGGGCTTCAACGTCAGTGGCTACATGCAAATGTCCGACGACGTGTTGCTGAATATGTGGAACATCGTCGACCTGCCTAGGGACAAGATTTGGTTCCAACAAAGCATCAGAAACGGAACGCTTGGGACCAGGAAAGTTCCAAACATTACGAAAGCAAACGGACAATGGCATTGGTGGCCTTGGAGCTCTGGGACCTGGGGCGTGAGGCGGTTGAGACAATTGTGGGCGTACTTTGAACATCTTAAGACCACATCTCACAAACAAAAGGTGCAGAATTTTCTTTCAAAGCTTTCAGATAGTTTTGGTGGGCCTGCAGGAGCTTTCTACGAAGCATCGGACATATTTTATGTTCCTTCTAAATACAAAGAACTTTTCAGTTTCTTCTCAAAACTTTTTGTTGGACATCATGTCTTTCTTGAGATTGCCATACCAACCATGTTATGTGGATTTGATCATATATCCAATGTCGTTCGTCTTAATGGAACGTACTTGTGGTACCAGGAGAGAGAGCTCTACGCACAACGATACACCCCCAACAACATGTTCTTACACAGCTGGAAGTTAAAACCTTTAATGACGGAAGCAAAAGCTCAAGATTTCTTCTGTACCAAATACCTGCCGTATATTGAAGGGAAAGCAACGCTCAAGCAAACAAATGACAGTTACATCTAGTTTGTTCTACTGAGTAGTACTATAAAATTGTTACTCCACATACATGTCATGTTCAATATAATAAAATTACAAAGTATGATGACAATCGTATGTTATATATGAAGATAAACCCAAGCTTTAACAGTAATCTTTCAGGGAAAACACCTCTGTTCAAATAAACTCCATTCCTTACTGTCCATAGAAGCACGGCCGAAACAACATGCTGAGTTAGTAGCTGTGTCTTGCGCGCAAGGCTGGTCTACAGAGTCTTTCGAGATGATAAACCTCATGCAGTATCGTAACCCACTACCCCCAGCAGCTAAACATCAACAGAATACATAGGTGAGCTGTGAATGCTGTGGGGTAGCCTAATGGTTAAAGCGTTCGCTCGTCACGCCCAAAAATCCGGGTTCGATTCCCCACATGGGTACAATGTTTGAAGCCCATTTCTGGTGTCCCCCTCCGTGATATTGCTGAAATATTGCTAAAAGCGGCGTAAAACTAGACTCACTCACTCACCTGAATCATTTATGCTTCTCAGAGAAAATGTGTGTAGAGTCATCAGTTCTGCTGCACAAGATTGTCTGGAATCTCTGGGTGGTAAAGTCTTGCAAATTGTGAAAACTTTTAAACCAAGGAATACACTGAGAAAAATCGTTGGTGGGTGATCAATAACTGACAGGTGTACCGTTCTACAAGCAGCCTTAGCGCTACGATTGTCGTAAAGAATGGGAGTTATGATCACCTCAGCGTTTAGACAGATTTGTTCAATGGCACCCAGACAGAATCAGCGTAAAAAGAAATGTAAGAGATATCGTGATCCAGGTTTTAACAAGCAGCTAACATCAGGAGTGGGCATATGTATGGGAAAGGGCAATTCTTCCTATATGAACAAAGCCAAGGGGTAGACATCCAGTCACGCGCCGCCAAATGACGCTTTCGTGAGACTGACGATGACGATCTTTGTTGTGTATACGTGAAAGTCACCCCCGATGCCTTACAGAACACACTGACACAATCACATTTGTTTGATGAGCAGAGTGCAGTAAATACGGACAGTGGTGCCTTTTTTCACGATTTGTCCGTACTCATATCTTTGTGCCCAAGTTGGGAATTACTCATTCATTATATTTATAACTGACGTCCATTATATTGTCACCCAAAAGATTCAATTGCTGCGTATGAAACAATGTTTTGACTTTTCATCTGCTGTGCACGATTTTTGTGTAAAACGTCATCGCCGAAAAACGCTAACGTAATACGCATCATCTAAATATAGGACACTGCAGCAGTGACGCCATGCGGCAGAGTAGTTTGACAAGTGCAGTCGGTAAGATATGAGTGGGTATCCTTTGACAGATGGTTGTTTAATGAATGAAAACTAAAATGATTTTATCAGGATGTTTATAGGTTTACCGCACATTAGTCCTACATCGCCGAAAACAGACGAAACAGGTGTAAACTGTAACCCATCCAGAAGTAACATAACGCCTCTTTAATCTATAAACTGTAACAATTTATTATTACTTGGGATTATAATAGTATCAATACAAACGTGTTTGAAGGCTAAAGTCAATGGCTTGTATTTATGAGAGAGTATTAGCAATACCATAACACGTCCCAAAGTTTCATTTAAAATATATAAACATTGGAAAACTTAAATTTACTTTTACCTAAAAGTGACTAAGGACACAAGCTTAACAGAAAAATATTTATATGTCAGAGGCCATTGTTGGTATTATGAAAGAATTTGGTCTAATTTGTTAATTTGATTTACTAATCAACCTTACAATATAGAAACGGGGTCACATCAAACTTACCTATTGACTGATGATGACACCACTTGCAAGATCGATAGCATTTGATTCGATAGCCCAGAATGAACATTTGATTCGATAGCCCAGAATAAACATTGGATCAGATAGCCTGACATGAACATTTGCCACAAGAACACCCCTTCTCCATATATCTATTCGCTGAATTACGTGTTTAAACAGAAAAGTCCTATTGAAAGCGTTGTAGATTTGTCCTTCTTTTGTGAAATATGGAAAGCAATTTATGGATTACAATTTCCTTTATTTCGCCAGTGCCTGACAACAGTAAAAGAATCTGTCTCGAAACGCCGCACGCTTGTCAATATTGTACTTCCAAACTTCTAAAATGCCTCTCAAAGAAGCTTCTTTTGTTTACGTGAGTGCTGTATAGATGAGAGCCTTCTTTGTGTCGGTCATTTCAATGTTCTCGCCACTGACCAACTTCATCTGCACACTGTAATTGCATTCTCTGGACCCAACTCCGAACATCGGATAAAGTAATTCTGTGAACGAGACATAAAATTTAGCCAAAACGGCGTTATTGTTGAGATCAATGAACGCGAGCCTTCTCCCCCCGACATCCAGCACCACGCCATATGAGAGCGTGGTTTGCGTACCGGGGACGCCAGACAGAGTGTTGGTTGAACAGAGAATGTGCCGGCCTTCATCGTAAACACGGGTACAGAAGCCCCGATGTTGGGGACAGTCCACAACACAGATACTCCAGGCACGGGGCTGGTAACACGTCCACACATTCCGGTCCACCTGTTTCTTCTCTACCACCGACATTTCAACAGCGGGCCATCCCACACCCACCTCCACCGTCACATCAGTCTGTGTTTCCCAGTACCGGGGGGCGGCAGAGACGCAGTCAAGGTTGGATGAATAAGGAGTCACAAGGATAGGGGTGGAGCTGCAGGTGCCCCGGTACTTGCACAGTCTGCCACTATCCTGCTCCAGTGGGCGTCCGACCGGCGGTGAGTTGACCAGCTCGCCGTCTGTGTTGACGTGGCATTGCCACGTGTTCGCCCTGGAGCTGTCCAGTTGAAGTTTAGGACCTGTAAGATATTACTGTGGTTCAATAGATTAATAAGACTTTATGGATGGGTGGGGGGATAAATATTAATGGACACTACGTTTGGTTAATGTGGCTACCTAGGTAATATTAAAGTTGTTGATGCATTGCTTTGTTCACCTCCTTACTCCAACTGTATGGAGTATATCTATGTAACAGATAATGATCATCCTAACGCACAGACCTAATTTGGACCTACGTTTGAAATATAAGACGGAATAGTCCCCATTGACGACCTGTTAGCCGCCTTACAACAACTAAATCTGTGCTAACTTGAATACAAGAGCAGGGCCCAGTTCCACAAAGCCATCTTAGTACTGCAATTATCGTAAGTCCATGTTGAAGAATGGTAGTTACGATCGTCGTATAAGGTCGCTTTGTGCAAATGAAACCCTGAACTTCTAACCCCGTATTAAATATGATTCGTTAGGTCCGAGCCACAAATGTTCGTTGCAATACATCATTCGTAAGCTACTGATAAACGATATAGTTACGACAGTTCGTAACATTACGAACACTTTGTGAATCGAGCCCCACAACTTAAACCTATAATAGATCGGTCATAGATTATGATCATGGGCCCCGTGCCGCATCTGAACTCTACTAAGTATCGTAAGCCTGCGTTAAGGTATGGGAGTTACATAAACGCTGAGATCGCCTATTAACAAAGACCCTGCCTGGTCCTCTTTAAACGAAGCGATTCTGACTCACTGCTGTTTGAGAGACTCCTATTTGAACATTAAAGTCCAAATATAACATTTTGATGTTATTACAGAAATCAAGCCGAAGGCTATGGTAAAATATTTTCTACAGTCGCTGTGATGCAGCTGAATGATGTCTTAGAGGAAGATGTACTCACATGAAATCTGCAACGACTGTTGAGAGTCTACATTTCCAACGACATAGACCGATCCACCAAACGCTGTAAAGTGTGAAATGCAAAACTGAGGGTCACGTCCACAAAGCCTTCGTATGCGAAATTCGTAAGCCTATGATAAACTATAGAGCTAGGACAGGTCGTAACGCTACGAATGCTTCGTGGATCGGAACCCAGTTTTATATAAAAAGAAACCAAATGCAAATTAAGGTTTGAAAGCAATGCAATCACAGAAACAAATAGATAATAAGTGATAACGATGAAATATTTTAGATCTGATTTCGATAAATAGAAAAGCACCTGCATGAGTTACTGTAGCTACTCTTGCAGGTCTCAAACCGATGTCAGGATTATTCATTATCCTCTAAAGCTCAAGTGATATTCCTTTATAACACCATTGAATAGCGTGTAACAGCAGTTTTATTGTAATGTCTTAATAGTTCGCACTGTGTTACAAATCGATGATTTTGTCATCGATGCCTACCATGAAGTCACTTGTCTAGTAAGTCGTTGACAAACGTCTCACGTATTAAATGGCTTGTTTTGTTACAAATCGATTTGGGTAACTTAAATTAGGTAATACTCAGTCATCGTTGGTAATGGTGAAGTGTCAACTTATTATGAAACAGGAAGAATAAAAGAGTTTTACCAGCTGTATAGTGTTGAGTCGATCGGCCAGTGGTGCATTGTTAAATGTTGCAGCACGATCTCGCATGTGAAAATCCCGTTTCGCTTCTACAGCACGAATACCTTATCACTTATGTGAATATTACAGCACCAATAGCTATCATCCACTCTGTTCCAGTGAAGTGCGAGGGGAGTGCTGGGTATTGAGTGTGTACATGCGTGTGTGTGTGTGTGTATGTGTGTGTGTGCGTGCGTGTGCGTGTGCGTTGTTGGAATAACCTTCTTCTACGTGTGTTTGCCCTGGAGGGTGGGGGTGGTTTGCTTTGGGTGGCGGAGGGTTACGCTGCTGAGTAGTATCTTCGTAATAATGTGTTTCTGTTCACAAGGGTAGAATGTGCGCATCCACGACACCAGACGCCACTTTGACGACGAGATTAAGATACGCAATGTCTGAACAGAACAAATACATAAGTCTTACCTCCCACTGTTTCCGACGCATTCATATATGTTGTTTGTTTAGACAGTGCTTGCCTGGAGACGCTGTGGGGTTTAAGCCCTCTGTACACACCCTGTACTGAGCCAGTGCTTGCCTGGAGACGCTGTGGGGTTTGAGCCCTATGTACACCTCCTGTACTGAGTCAGTGCTTGCCTGGAGACTCTGTGGGGTTTAAGCCCTGTGTACACACCCTGTACTGAGTCAGTGCTTAAACATCGCGAGACGCTGTGCTGGGTTTGTGAGCCTGAGACATGTATACCCCGAAAAACTAAAGTCAATGTTTCCCTGGAGACGCTGTGGGGTTGAAGCCCAAATGTACACACACCCTGTACTGAGTCAGTGCTTGCCTGGAGGCGCTGTGGGGTTTGACATGCATCGTGATCGGTTACACACCCTGTACTCAGCCAGTGAGCAGCTGTACTGAAGTTGTATTAATAAATAAATTCACCGTCTGTGCAGACAGGTCTATAAGTGTCAACTCGAGATGCAATATCGATACTTATGTAACAATGTTGCTTTGGCAGATAAAGCTTCTTTTGATATTAAGACATTATTCCAACATTTACTATTCCCCAAAGGGGAATATTACCAAAAGGTGCAACAACTATAAATATTTATATCTTTAATGAGATACCTGACTGATATTTGTATTAGTCGTTGCAATAATCATTAGTTTTGCAATAATCATTCAGAAGTAATATATGCAGATCGTTGTCAACATCTTCAAGGCTGCTGGTACGGGGTTAAACTTGACAGGTCCAAAACTCGAAACCTAGCCACTGACTTCTCTGCTAAATTGCAACTCAAACCGAAACAGTATTATCTATTTTTACGCCTGTAGCCTAGAGCTTATCTTCCACTCTAAGTACAAAGAAGATCCGACTGATATACGACCTCAGCTGACACTACAACTGCCTTTCTACGGTAACTGGGGTATCACTGGGTGTGGACAGCACCCGCAACTCATTCTTACACTTCACCATGAATGCGGAAGGTTATACTTTCCCTGCTACTCGGAACATTTGGACAAGCAAAATACACCCCCTATATCTACTGACCACATTCTTCACAGGGAAAGTCCAACATAGCATGGCTTTCTGGGAATGGAGCCCACGTGACCAGGGACAGGTGTAATGTGAAACCCATGTCCAGGCACCTTGGTCGTCTTGGTATAACCCATTAATGTTTAGGGCATGTTTACATTAAATCAAAGCCACTGTTACTTTAAAGGTTCTATCGACTGAAGGTAGTGCCAAGTTTAAACCAAGAAATTGAAAACGATTACGACCAGATAACAAATGTACACCATGTCAAGGAGGACTCTGAACCATCAAAGTGACGAGTTGCAACTTTGGCCTAAAGATTGAAACATGCATTCAAAATATGAGAAGATGCTGCGTCTCGGCTCGAGCTAAAGCATTAAAAGACCATCTCGTTATAAGATTGAAGCTGGTGTGTCACAGCTGGAGGTAGAACATTTAAAACCCATTGTGAAATAATAGGACATGGTGTATCTAACTGGAGCTCAAATAGTGAAAGACAAATTCACTATGATAGAAGATGATAACATAGTTTCACAATACAAACATAAAAACACTGACCCACGGTAACAACAAAAGTCACGTCTCAACAGGAGCTAAAACATTTAATGAGCAAGTAATAAACACCTCATGAGGTGGGTCTCAACTTCAGCTTAAGTTTAAACAGCAGGCAAACTGATCAGAATAGAAGATTGTGCTTCTAAACCCATAGTAAATATAGGTTGGAGCTGAAACTATAACATTCAAACTCTAACCCATAGTAAATATAGGTGGTGCCATCCAGTAAATAACCCATAGTAAATATAGGTGGTGCCATCCAGCTGAAACTAAAACATTCAAATACACACTTATATTAATCTCATGTGGCGCATCTTACCTAGATCAAAAACATGAAAAGAAAGACATGAATATCTACTGGACCTAAACTATTGAAAGATAAACCCAATATAATATAAAGAAGTAGAAGTTGGACCTGGCTAGCTATTCTCGAAACGTTCGTAGCCCTACAAACAATGTAACCGACGTCACGATGTATGCCAGTTGTCATCGCCTCGTACAGCCTCCTACAGTAAACTACTCCGTAGCACCCCGTTTCTTGGTTTGTAGTTGCTTCACTCGGCTAACATCACTGGTGGAAACATTGCGTTTATGTTTTTCGAGAGATATAATGTCTCAGTTCGACTCACAATTAAACAGCGACACGGCAACGTTCGCAATGTTTATATTCCCACAATGCATATAAGTTGTAGAATGAATGAATTCACGTGTATGTTATGAATGAAAAGGTAGTTCCGTCACAACGTGACCTAATTGAGAGGTCATCGGTTATTCAATCAAATCGTTAGAATCTCAGGTCAAGTCGTTACGACACAGGTCAACGCGATACGACACTCGTGTGACGTACGAGATTAGTATGCAACTACCCATACGTTGACCACGTGGGTAATAAAGCTGATTATGATATGATTTGACGTTTCTAAACTTGAGCTAAAACATAAAATAGCGAACCAAACTCATTACAAAGCGATGATGAGTCTAAAGCTGGATCTAAAATGTTAGCGACATTAAGAGAACGTTAGTGGACAATTGTAACTGTCATAATCAACAGTGAAAGCATACACCCGTTAAAAAAGCATCCTAAGACACCTTAATCTGGCATACGTCTTGACTTTTCAGGGTCGAAACTCGCAAACATTTCAGCCAACCATAAAACTTGCCCAAGCAAAACTTTCTGTCTGGATAATGTATCTTAACCATCTCAGTGACACGTCTCAAGCTAGCGCCGGAAACGGAAGGTCGCCGGTTCGATCCTCGATTCAATAGACATAAAAATGAAAAAGAATGATACATCATCTTGCGCCTAATAGTTATTTAAATCTAATAGTAGAAACCGAAATATATTGCATAATTTCAATAATTACATTCACCAAAATTGCGAACAATAGAATATATATAATATAATCCGGTTTAACGCATTCTCGCTAAATTTAAAAAATACAAAATACAAAAATACACCAAATATAACACCCCGTAATACAAATAAATATGAGCGTATTAGTGAAAATGAAAAAATATTTCAAACTGGTGCTTGCAAAATTGCGCATCCGCCGGTATACATCTACTGCATAATAATTCATCGGAAACTCTCAACAATGTTGGGATTATGCAATGACATAGCCAGTAGAGATGAAACACCAGTGAGCGGAGCTTATACGCACTCGCTGAGCTAGACAACCGTGTTGCTATGCAGGCGTCATAGGGCATTGTTTCGAGAACGTGCTTTCGAACAAAATCACATAAAATTACGTAAAAGGGTATTATGACGTTTTTTTAAAGTTTGTGATGCTGTATTCTAAAGGTATGCCGATAAAAATCAGTGAAAATTGGCGAATTCTTAACAAAACTTTACACCAAAACGGAGCTGTTCACATGCACGATATTTGCACATGCTCTTCAACAATTTAATGCATGATCCTCGTCCAATTTGTGCAGGTTTGCAGTTGGTTCCCCCAAGTTAGTAGAGAAGTCAATTTTCGATGTAACCATATAATATACATAACATATAGTGACAGTTTTAAGTGAGTCATTTGATGGGAAGTATACGATACCGAGCATGTCGTCGACAATTCATATCTCATCTCAGTCTTCACTGAACCAATCTATTTTTACAAAAGTTTGCAAAGTTACCCAGATTACAAACTTTTGCAGGAATGATTATTTCAATGTTCTACTTTCAAATACATAGAATGCATAGAATACTAAACATTTATGGTTCACCTACTGTTATAATGGTACTTTTGTTTTATTCGCCCATGACCTGTCCTGCATAATAACTCCATATATCACAGTAGGAGGCTGATGTATTTCATCCCGTCACCATGATGCACAGTGTACATGGTGAAACTGGCACAGGGTCGGTGTCACTCGACAAAGAATCAGGGCCTCCTTTCACAAAGCACTAAGGTGATCGGAAGTCACTAAGGTAACCTAACAATGGGAGTTAAAGGTTAACCTTAGTAAAGGTTGCTTCGTGACAGGAGCCCCAGTTTGATAAAATTCGGGATAAGGCTAAAAAACACAAGAAAAGTTATTCATATTGTATTTGTATGGGTTCACGATTAATCCATTAATATATATAACCCACGAACTTCAATATCAAAACAATTCATCAGCATCGGAAATCAGATATCAACATCTAAATCTTACTTGAAAATCTAAATTTGATAATTGCAAGTAGCAAGGTCATGCGTTCCATGCATCAGGGTCACATATCAACAAGCCTCTGACATGTATTAATAACTTTGACAACTGTAAATGTCAGTTACTTATGAAAAGTTATATTACAAAGACTGGTGGAATGAGCAATCCTTAGAACCCACTAATAATTTACGGGACACCCAGATATGGATCGAGGGTTGATACGGGGCATGGTATGGAAAACAGAGGGTCCTACTTCTATCACTAAAGGTAAGACTACAGAATACTAACCGACCTGTCAGAAAATGATCTTGCCAATAAGGTTGATACCAGAGATGGTTTTCCCGTCGATTTCCAGGCTGTCCCGCTGCTCTCCAACAGGCATCAGTCACCATAAAACATGTTCACACTTGAATCATTCTTCTTTCCATGTTCACGTCTTTTCATACTGTCCATATATTGCAAGTGGAAATTTCTACATTTCCTATTCGAGTCGAGTTCATTTCCGAGTCGAGTTCACCACTCTTGGAGACAAGCTAGGAAGCAAGTGTGTTATTCAGCTGACATGGAAGATCTAACAGTTGACCGTTAACAAGATGACGTCATATTCATGACATCATCTAATAAATGACAACGCCTTTGTATTGTGACGTCATAAACGATCTATGCCCTTGCATGAAATGCTTTGCGAACTGTTTCGTGTTACCATGCCCCTGCGGTCCTGCCTGATGTACACAGTGACGTGTCGCTATTATCGGGTAACTAAAGCCTACATATCAAGACTGATATACATTATATAGCGATAACAGTGGGTAATAGTAAGCCGTCCTTGGTAGCAGAAAAAAACAAATGTCCTCACATCCCCTCAAACACTCCATTGGATCGGTATTAGCAGATGGGGTTAGACTAAATTTTCGTCAAGGAAATAGAGTTATCTTATTTGCAACTATATGTGTGGAAAATATA